TGGACACGATAAAGTAAACATGAAGATATAGCTGTGGACACGATAAAGTAAACATGAAGATATAGCTGTGGACACGATAAAGTAAACATGACGAAATAGCTGTGGACACGATAAAGTAAACATGAAGATACAGCTGTGGACAGGATAAAGTAAACATGAAGATATAGCTGTGGACACGATAAAGTAAACATGAAGATATAGCTGTGGACACGATAAATTAAACATGAAGATATAGCTGTAGACACGATAAAGTAAACATGAAGATATAGCTGTGGACACAATAAAGTTAACACGAAGATATAGCTGTGGACACGATAAAGTAAACATGAAGATAAAGCTGTGGACACGATAAAGTAAACATGAAGATATAGCTGTGGACACGATAAAGTAAACATGAAGATATAGCTGTGGACACGATAAAGTAAACATGACGAAATAGCTGTGGACACGATAAAGTAAACATGAAGATACAGCTGTGGACACTATAAAGTAAACATGAAGATATAGCTGTGGACACGATAAAGTAAACATGAAGATATAGCTGTGGACACGATAAATTAAACATGAAGATATAGCTGTAGACACGATAAAGTAAACATGAAGATATAGCTGTGGACACGATAAAGTTAACATGAAGATATAGCTGTGGACACGATAAAGTAAACATGAAGATAAAGCTGTGGACACGATAAAGTAAACACGAAGAGATAGCTGTGGACACGATAAAGTAAACAAGAAGATATAGCTGTGGACACGATAAAGTAAACATGAAGATATAGCTGTGGACACGATAAAGTAAACGTGAAGATATAGCTGTGGACAGGATACAGTAAACAACACGAAGTTACTGATGTCGACAAGATACAATAAAGAACATGAAGTTACTGATGTGGACATGATACAGTAAACAACATGAAGTTATAGCCGTGGGCAAGATTCAGTAAACAACATAAAGCAACAACTGTGGACAAGATACAGTAAACAACTTAAAGCAACAACCGTGGACAAGAAGTAAAAAAAAAAAAAAAAAACATAAAGTTACAGCGGTAGACAAGATACAGTAAACAACACGAAGTAACAGACATGGACAAGATACAGTAAACAACACGAAGTAACAGACATGGACAAGATACAGTAAACAACACGAAGTAACAGACATGGACAAGATACAGTAAACAACACGAAGTTATAGCAGTGGACAAGATACAGTAAACAACACGAAGTTATAGCCGTGGACAAGATACAGTAAACAACACGAAGTTATAGCAGTGGACAAGATACAGTAAACAACACGAAGTTATAGCTGTGGACACGATAAAGTAAACATGAAGATATAGCCGTGGACAGGATACAGTAAACAACATGGTTACAGCCGTGGACAAGACACAGTAAACAACTTGAAGTTATAGCTGTGGACAAGATACAGTAAACAACATAAAGAGCTACTGTTGCGTGTAGTTGGGGGGGGGGGGGGGGGGGACGACGTGGTGCAACCCATAGATATGTGAGTCTACTGGAATGTCTGGTGACCTGAGTCAAAATTTGGAGCTGTGTAGACTTAAGCCAGGAGATGTCAGTTCGGCTTGAGTCAGTATTATAAGTCGGTGCACCGACCGCCTTTACTTCCCAGGACTACACCCGGTACCTACTTAAAGCTGGGTCAACCTGGAAGACAAAATCCTTTTTTGTTTAAAGTCCGGCTTCGTCCTACTGTAGGGCTTGTTTAGTTTCGATAAATATAATTTTATTTTATGACTTATTGCTGTTTATACTTTGAATTAAACACAAACACACACACACACACACACACACACACACACACACACACACACACACACACACACACACAGGGGTCATGCCAGCACAGGGGTCATGCCAGCACAGGGGTCATGTCAGCATAGGGGTCGCTTGCTAATCTGTGTGTGTGTCAAGCGACCATTTACTCTTCTTTCCTGTTAGTGGCTGTTATAAGGGGCTGGACTGCAGCACACCGGTTTGCTCGGGAGCCCATAAGACTGTTCAGACTGCTGTAAAAAAATTGAGGGGACATGGGGGGGGGGGGGGGGGGGGGGGGGGGGGGGGGGGGGGGGGGGGGGGGGGGGGGGGGGGGGGCAAAATCTGTAAGTGCTTAGGGCATCAAAGGGTCTTAAACTGGATTTATTTCATTGATCGTTTCTGGAACTAGGTTATCTTCCCTATGCACTCAGTTAATACAATCCTTAAGAGTACCAGTTGTCCAAGTGGAGGCTGACCTGCCGGACATACTTACATAAATGAGAAACGTTGCCATCCGATTCCCTGCATTGGCCAAGAATCTCGTTTTTGAAGGATACTAAAATAAAAAAGTGATGTTAATTTGTTTTGCGTGTTATATAAACACTGGCTATCCTCCGAATAACGGGCACAAAAGATGGCGACCGCAAAAACACCCTAACAGAGCCTCAGTCGCGTGTCAATTGCGCACTTACGGCGACTTATCCCCCACGCCGCTCACGCATCTCCTGCAGCTTTGCTCGTGAGTCCTAGCCATCTAGTTTAGCCCCAATCCACGCGCGCGTGAGCGGCGTATAGGATACTCTCAGCGGTGGCGGTAGTCGCCGGAAAACCGCAAATTAGGTCGCCGGAAGTGCGTAATTGGCACGTGACGGAGGCCCTGTTTTTGGCCGCCATTGGCCGCCATCTTTTGTGCCCGTTATTCGGAGGATAGCCTAAACACCAAGATCACAAACGTGGAAAAGATCAAAACATCCTACGCGAACCTCACAGAACACACAGAGCGAGTTGGAGATCTGTTTCCGCCTATCTACATGGCGAAGATGGCACCTGCTTTTTTTTTTCTAATTAGCTGTCACAGAAGCGTATTACTGGATGTTATTTTATCTGTCATTTAACACACGACAGGTTATTTCGCTTTCAGTACTGTAATGACTGTTCTCTAAACAATGATGTTGGAGTAAACCTTGAGATAAGAGAGAAATGCATGGGAATTTGAATACTCGTAGAAACACGAGATATACAAGCAGGGCTCAAACCAGCACGGGAAACCCAGAACGAGAGTTATAAGGTTAGACCAAGATCTAATTAGTTAGTATGTGCTTCGCAGCCAGAGTGAGAGGTTGTGTTTTGTGTGAATGCAACATGGTATTGCTGAACAGCGGGGAGAAGACTGAATTCGACAAGATGACTGCCCAGCCAGAATCCAGTCAAGCCTTCAATTAGCCTGATGGTGGAGCTGAACAGCCAGCGGCCAGAGATATTTGTTTGATACCTGTGTATGTGATGCGATTGAGAGGTGAAGATTGCAAAGGGCGCGAACGGAAATGATTGTGAACAGCCACGGGGGACTTAGTCAGTGTTGCCTGTTGAATATTTGGACATACTAGAGAGTAGCTGACGGTGACTGGACCAGACTTTCTTCTGTGAGTAATAAAGATATAAACTGCGACTGTGTCTCCACAGTAACATCTGTGTGTGTCAATTCGGCATGTGTGTCTGCAATTCTACAATCTCCTAGGAAACAGCCAGAGTACACAGAGAGAACAACGCCACAAGTACACAAGATAGACAGGTCTGCCATTTTTTTAGTAGTTGGCAAGTTTCTGCTTCTGACAATAGTTGTATTCTCCTCCATATGTAGACTGAAAGGATATAGTTCCGTCGTCTGGCTATTGGGTTGAGGGCATGGCGCGACACTGTGAGCTGTAGATTCAAAACTGGCTTGTTGCAACAGAACTAGTGGTGCCTTTTTTAAATTAATCACGTGTATACTACTGATCTATTGTAACTTCTGCTTCTAACGACGATGAACTGTATTTCTGGTGTCGGACTGTTTGTATTAGCATTTCTAACGGCTCGCTTTTAAATTTAGTACGTGTGTATGCTATAAGATTTGCCGAGACTGGAGTCTGTGTCAATTTTTCCACAAGGGACAGCAATGGACATTCCGTCTGCTTTTCGTTGGCACGGGGGCGGGGCAATTATGGGGTGACCCATTTCATGTGAAACTAGAACTGAAACTACCTGAAAGCGAGCTGATAGATTGCTTTAGGTAAATGTAAAGGTAAAGTCGGGAGATGTGAACCAGCGTCATTGCACATAAGTGCTCTGCCATCAGTACGGACAGCTGATAAGAAACTGCCCGCCTGTGTCGCCGTTCGCACGTAACTCTGTAGCTACAGCGACGTTCCTCCATTTACCCCAGAGTGTCAACACTGGTACCCCTTTCCTCGAGGCTGGGTGAACCCCAGGAACCGCCCGGTTTCAAACACCGACCGTGGCTGAACCCAGTAGCAGCTGGATTTGAAAGCGAACCTCTTATCGACTGCGGTAACGTGGCACCCAGATTGCTTTAGCTTAGGTGTAAGGTAAAAGATTCGTTTCCAAGCTTTTATGCTTATTGGGCACATTGGGCTAGACCTATATATCGTAAAGACTAAATGGCACTGGGTGGGTAATGTGGTCGCCTTTACTTCAAGGACTTTACCATAACCCACATAAGGCTTTGTGATGTTCTTGTAAGTAGAGTCAAACTGCCAAAACTGCCAATTAATGGCAATATGGGCCACTTTTGCAGTGTAGGTCGGGAAGAGGGAAAGGATGGGGTCTTTGATCCTGAGGTCGCATGGCTAGCGCAGTCACCATGAACTGCCAGATCGCTCAAACTAGGATCGGACCCGGTAACTCAGAATTACGAAGCGCGTTGGCAATGCCTGAGCTACAGATGCCGACGTTTAAAAAACAACAACAACTGAAAACCTAAAATGTATTCTTGTTTAGAAGGATCGTGATCAGCTAGGAGAGATAATCAGAGGACGATAACAAGGCGATAAGAGAAAGGAGGAGGAAGAGGATGAGGAGGAGGAGGAGGAGGAGGAGGAGGAGGAGGAGGAGGAGGAGGAGGAGGAGAAAAAGAAGAAGAAGAAAAAACAGAAACGGAAGATTATTATTATTATTATTATTATTATTATTATCATTATTACGTAACGAATTTAATCACTTACGACGAGAACATCCATGTGTGCCCCATAATGTCCACCAAGACCATAATTTGCAACCTTTTTTTTTTCAGAAGAAAATGTACAATATACACATAACATTTTCACAAACTGGAGCACAGACGCACACAGTAACACATAAATACACAAAACCAGCCTGAACACAATCGTGTGGTCAAGCAAATAAAAGGTGACAAGGGAGAAGATGACACGCGATCAGCCATAACTGTACTGAATAAGCAGCACTGAAGGCGGCGAGTTAGTTGGTGGCACTGCTAGGCCCGCTCAGTACCTCAAAACTCCGTGACTGTTTAGAACAGTGGCTCTCAACCTTTCCAATGCCGCAAACCTTGAATAAAGTTCCTCATGTTGTGGCCATCCTTGAAAACTGTTCCTCATGTTGTGGCGATCCTTGAAAATTGTTCCTCGTGTTGTGGCGATCCTTGAATAAAGTTCTTCATGTTGTGGCGATCCTTGAAAACTGTTCCTCGTGTTGTGGCGACCCTTGAAAACTGTTCCTCATGTTGTGGCGATCCTTGAAAACTGTTCCTCATGTAGTGGCGACCCTTGAATAAAGTTATTTATGTTGTGGCGATCCTTGATAACTGTTCCTCGTGTTGTGGGCACCCTTGAATAAAGTTCTTCATGTTGTGGCGATCCTTGAAAACTGTTCCTCATGTTGTGGCGATCCTTGAAAACTATTCCTCGTGTTGTGGCCACCCTTGAATAAAGTTCTTCATGTTGTGGCGATCCTTGAAAAGTGTTCCTCATGTTGTGGCGAAACTTGAATACAGTTCCTCATGTTGTGGCGATCCTTGAAAACTGTTCCTCATGTTGTGGCGATCCTTAAAAACTGTTCCTCATGTTGTGGCGACCCTTGAATAAAGTTCTTCATGTTGTGGCGATCCTTGAAAACTGTTCCTCGTGTTGTGGCGATCCTTGAAAACTGTTCCTCATGTTGTGGCGATCCTTGAAAACTGTTCCTCATGTTGTGGCGATCCTTGTAAACTGTTCCTCATGTAGTGGCGACTTTTGAATAAAGTTATTTATGTTGTGGCGATCCTTGAAAACTGTTCCTCGTGTTGTGGCCACCCTTAAATAAAGTTCTTCATGTTGTGGCGATCATTGAAAAGTGTTCCTCATGTTGTGGCGAAACTTGAATACAGTTCCTCATGTTGTGGGAACTCCAAAACATACAATTATTTTCATTACTACTTCATAACTTCAATGAATATGTGTTCTCCGATGTTCTTAGGCGACCCACGTGAAATGGTCGTTTGACCACAGGTGGAGAACCGCTGGTTTAGACCAATGATTCCTAACTTGTTCTTTCCCACTAACATGATTCGTCATCCTACATGATCAGCAGAATCACGGATCAGGTCAGTGTTCTTATCCCGCTCAAGACTTCAAGGTATTTATTTCTTTGCTTCCCCAGCCCTCTTTCTATCCGTCCTGACAGTTGTCATCAAGTTCTCAAGTCCGTTCCTTGCCTTAATTGAACAAACATAATCATCTTCTCCATCTTTGGCATTCCGAGTCTATCTTCAGCATTCCGAGTCCACCTTCGGCAATCCGAGTCAATCTTTGGCATTCCGAGTCCATCTTCGGCATTCCGAGTCCATATTCGGCATTCCGAGTTCATCTTAGGCATTTAGTTCATCTTCAGCATTCCGAGTCCATCTTCGGCATTCCGAGTCTATCGTCGGCATTCCGAGTCCATCTTCGGCAATCCGAGTCAATCTTCGGCATTCCGAGTCCATCTTCGGCATTCCAAGTCCTTGAGGTTCCCTGCTGCAGATATCACCCGCCTCCATTCATCTCTCTGGTTAGTCTTTATTTCCCCCAGTTGTTGACACCATGTGTTTGTAGGTCCATCTGGACGTTAACTCATCATGGTCTTCTTGGTCTGCCTTGTGGTCTACGACCATTCAACTCCCCTGTGTACACAGTTTTTTCCTCTCTCTGTCATCTGACATTCTCTCAATATGTCCTGGCCATTTCAGTCTATTAGCCGGTGATTAGTGATGGTTTAAAAAGATTATAAATTTCCTTGTTGCTTCTCACTCGTCATTTTCCGCTGTTTGCATCTTTGATGGGTCCAGAGATTCGTCGTTAGATTGTTTTCGAAAATTCGTAGCAAGGCCCGATTTAGTTTAGCTATGCTCCAAGTTTCAGGGCCATTAAAAACTTGTGAGCAAATAGGATAATGCAATGAATTCATGCATGCTATGGTCAGTTCAACTTTATAGACTGTTTAATGAATGTCTCTGGGCTTTTAACGCTCTGAAACAGTCGGGGGGCTACATGAGGTTTCCTGTACCTTTCGTGAGTTCATCCGCATTTCAATTTCTAGGTATGCCACAGTGAGCTGGATTCCACTGCTGGCTAATTATGGTTTTGTGGACACCATTCTAATGTTTGTTATTTCATAGATGATGTTCTGTTTTAAGCATGAAATGACTTGGAAGACTAATTATAGGATTTGTGGATGAATCCTCATTTCAGAACAAATCCGAATGTCCGCAAAAAGACCGAATAAGGAAAATCCAGGCTAATTATAAACCTGTGTTTACCTCAGCGTCCGTGTCGCCCATTGTTTTTTCTTTCTTTCTTTCTTTCTTTCTTTCTTTCTTTCTTTCTTTCTTTCTTTCTTTCTTTCTTTCTTTCTTTCTTTCTTTCTTTCTTTCTTTCTTTCTTTCTTTCTTTCTTTCTTTCTTTCTTTCTTTCTTTCTTTCTTTCTTTCTTTCTTTCTTTCTTTCTTTCTTTCTTTCTTTCTTTCTTTCTTTCTTTCTTTCTTTCTTTCTTTCTTTCTTTCTTTCTTTCTTTCTTTCTTTCTTTCTTTCTTTCTTTCTTTCTTTCTTTCTTTCTTTCTTTCTAGTATTCTTCTGGTTTTTGCCTAGGCCTCTTACGACATGAACCATATTTTACAGTATTATTATTTCTTGCATTTGAACCGTTAAAAGCCAAGCATCTCAAACCACAAACACACATGCACGCGTGCGACAACAGCATGTATAACAACAGCATTCACAACAACAGCAGACACAACAACAGCACACACAACAACAGCAGACACAGCAACAGCAGACACAGCAACAGCAGACACAACAATAGAAGACACAACAACAGCCAACACAGCAACAGCAGATACAACAACAGCAGATACAACAACAGCAGACACAACAACAGCAGACACAACAACAGCAAACAAAACAACAGCAGACACGAACATCAACAACGGTCTCAACAACAGCAGACACAACAACAGCAGACACAACAACAGTAGACGCAAAAACAGTAGGCACAACAACAGCAAACACAACAACAGTAGACACAACAACATTAGGCACAACAACAGTAGGCACAACAACAGTAGGCACAACAACAGTAGGCACAACAGCAGCAGAAACAACAGCAGCAGACACAGCAACAGCAGACACAACAACAGCATGCACAACAACAGCAGACACAACATCAGCAGACACAACAACATAAGAGGTCCAACAACAGCAGACACAACAAGAGACGCCCAACAACAGCAGACACAACAACAGCATGCGCAACAACAGCAGACACAACAACATAAGACGTTCAACATCAGCAGACACAACAACAGACGCCCAACAACAGCAGGCACAACAACAGCATGCACAACAACAGCAGATACAACAACAACTGGCACAACAACAGCAAAAACAACAACAACAGACGTCCAACAACTAACTTGCAAAGGCTCTGCTGAAGACGGGCCGTCAGGTAACCTCTGTGCAGTCTCCAGGCCTGTGATGTGTGCTATTCGTGTAGAGATCGAAGCCACGATGGCAGAGTCGCAATCGTAGATCCAAGCGCTGGGGGAGACACAAACGACGATGGATTGTGGTCGTCAGAACCAAGGGCCAGGCCTGCTGCTACCAAGTTAACACTGGGGGTGGGAGCCTCAGCCGCACCAGCCCCCCCCCCTCATCCCCCCATCCCCGCTTTACAAATTATCTGGGTAAAATTTAGGGTGGAGGCGCTTGACTCCCTCCCCCCCCCCCCCCACACACACACAGACACACACAGACACACACAAATTACGAAAACATTGAGGAAGGAGGGGAGTACAGACCCATCCCCAATCACGCCTTCCTCATATTTAGGCAAACAATTAGGTACGGGCTAAGATTTTTTCCCCAATAAGAAAACATTAAAAAGTAAAAAAAAGTAAAGATCCCTTTACACGCCTTTAGGCGCATCGGGCATATGGGAAGAGCACCCATATTTTTACAGACCAATCGGCACTCGGTGGGTAATGTGGTCAGCATTACGCCGGCCGTCTTTGCTTTCCCAGGACAGCCCATCCTGGTACCCATTTGAGGCTGGGTCGACCTGCGACGTCCCATACCACGATAAAAATCCACGCAGCCCACGCAGGTTTCGATCGCAGTACGTTGGATTACGAGTCAGACTCGCAGCGCCTTAGCCACGGACGTCGCATAAGAAAACATTGCCGGACCCTAAACCATTATCTCCTTATCGTCTAACAGACTTTGTATCCGAATATTAATGTGTGTGCGATTGTGCATGCGTGCGCGCGGGAGCATGTGCGTGTCTTTATGTTAGGAATGAATGGGGGTCTGGAGCTCAGGTCTTTAAGTGCTTTCTTTGCACAGTAATTCTGTAAGCGCTCTAAGAGATTCTCTTTAAGCATGTATAGAAATTATCTGTCAATGTATTTGTGCATGCATTTCATATTAGTTCAAGTATACTAATATGTTTATGTGCCATTCCGCACATAATTTTTTATCGTTATTATTATTATTATTATTTTTATTATTATTATTATTATTATTATATTATTATTATTATTATTATTATTATTATTATTATTATTATTATTGTGCTGCAAGTAAATATAATTTTATACCTGAAAAATAAATGAAAATATAAGCAATTACTTTTGAAGACAATTTCACGACATAGTTACAGGGGAATCTCTAACACGTCTTATAAATTATTCAAGG